ATCTGGTATTAGACTTTGATTTGTATTGGAGAAAGTCATCATTAAAGGCTCACAAAGACATTTCAAAATTAAACATTTGGTGAACAAAAGAGCAGATGTTAAATAATCGCTTAATCGCTTCTCTTAATGGATATCCATGAGCAACATGGATATCCATTAAGAGAAGCTCACAGTTCTCTATGTAGAAGCTTAAAATAACCTAATGAAAAAACATACTCAAGTTTTTCTGAGAACAAACAAAATCCTTCTAACTGGGAAAGCAAAGAGATGATGATGTGTTTGTTTAATGATAAACTTAATGCTGCTGCAGCTGAACTTTTCATTCCACATACAGCTTGTTTCATGATTTCCATTAGGCTATATTAATAGTGTAGTTTGGTTTGTGTTTGTTGCCTCCCTTCCTCCCTGCTTCTGGCTTTCAGTGCATATCTAAGGCTCCTAAGGTTTCCAAATTTTGGAGGTAAATCAAAGTATCTTGAAACACTGCCCAACCCAGAAATCTTTAGTTCTTTATTTTAATCATTATCCGTTTACTTCAGAGTAACTACTGATGGAAGATAATGTGAGACACTGTGAACTAGCAGACACCTTACCTAGCAGGTAAAGTGTGTAAGCTGGATTTGTGCTGCATGTAGCAGATTTGCTCTCACCTGTTTCTGAATTGCATTGCGCAGAGCCTTATCAATAAACCTTGTGAAGAGATTGTACAGCCAGCTATCAAAAAGCAAAACCAGCAGGAATTAGAAGAATTCTGCAGATGAAGTAAAATAGTAAAACCCTTCTCCCTTACAGCTGGGTTTCTCACCTCGCTCCACCATGGAACTTGACCTTTGCACTTCCAACAGCGGCTGAGCAGCTGTCACTGCTGACCGCTGGTCGGCCTGTCTCGTCACTCTTGATGGAGATGGTTGTAGCGATACTGAGACCATTCACATTCAATTCAAAAGACCCGCTGTGCTTTCTGGTAAAAGAGAAAAAATATCAGATATTATATTTTTAAGCAGATAAATTACTTCTCTAAAGAAGAGATGTTACCTCACTCACATTATTCGCAGGTACTTGACCCTCCAGTTTCCATTCAGACTGATGAAGGCGTCACCTATAGACATTCTGACTCCAGTCCCTGGCACCAGATCCACTGACGACTTTGGTATTCCCACCTTCAATACACGTATACTGGAAGAATTCGTGTTTTGTTTGTTTAAGCAGCAACAGGACAAAATACTTTGTAACAGAATTTAGAGACATGTTGAACAAACTGGAGCCTTACTTTGACAAATTGTACTGGACTTTTCCAATTGGAGACACCTTCTTTTTCCCAGAAAAGTCTGGAATTTGGATAGAATTGAGTTTCTGCTGCATGTCAGCCATGCCCAGTTGCCTGCCTAACAAAATGTAAAGAAAAATAATTTACTGAGCAAACACTGGAGAAATCAGTCCTTTTTGAGCAAGAGGACAGCTTTTACACAAACCTTACCATATTCAATGCCTTTTTCTGTCAGCCTGACCTTTACTCCAGGATTGATGCTCAAGGTTGCGGGGATGAGAGCCCCCAGAACCAGCCAACAGCACAGGAACATCTTCAGAGCTGAGCCATGAAGAATAAGAAGACCAAGGAATATTTATACAAGCACAAAAGCAGAAGAGATTCTGCTTACGAAATCTATGGGGAAAAATTGCAGAGCAATAAAATCCAGCTTCTTCTTTTAGTGACAGTTTACAAGAACATGTACCAATTCAACAGTACTGACATACAGAGCTTAGTGGAGCAGCAATGCAAAGCAGTTTATTTCACCACTTCCTCGGGTTGCTTAGAGTGAAAGCCTATGAAAGAGCTAACGGCCATTGCTCCACATGAGACTGCATAAGATTGAATGACAAATTAAATGATGATGAAGTTTAGTTATACAGTGACAACACAGTTATCACACACTTAGTTCATGTGTCTCAACATTTAATTTTGTTAACAAATAAACCACAAC